GTGTGTTGGTCTCCGGTGTCCACCATGTGGTTGGTGGGGGTGAGCAATGGCCGCCATGTCCCAGTGGTTGGGTGTGGGGGTCTCTGGTGTCCACCATGTTGGGTGTGGGGGTCTCTGGTGTGGTTGGTGGGGGTGAGCAATGGCCGCCATGTCCCAGTGGTTGGGTGTGGGGGTCTCTGGTGTCCACCATGTTGGGTGTGGGGGTCTCTGGTGTCCACCATGTTGGGTGTGATGGTCTCTGGTGTCCATCATATCCCAGTGGTTGGGTTTGATGGTCTCCAGTGGCCACCATGTTGGGTGTGATGGTCTCTGGTGTCCACCATGTCCCAATGGTTGGGTTTGATGGTCTCCAATGTCCACCATGTTGGGTTTGATGGTCTCTGGTGTCCATCATGTCCCAATGGTTGGGTTTGATGGTCTCCAGTGGCCACCATGTTGGGTGTGGTGGTCTCTGGTGGTCCCCACGTTGCTGTGGGGGTCTCTGCTGTTGCTGTGGGGTCCCTGCTGTCCCTGGTGTCCCTGCTGTCCCCGTGGGTGTCCCTGCTGTCCCCGGTGTCCCCGGGGTCCCTGCTGTCCCTGGGGTCCCTGCTGTCCCCGTGGGGGTCCCTGCTGTCCCTGTGTCCCCGTGGGGGTCCCTGCTGTCCCTGTGTCCCCGTGGGGGTCCCTGCTGTCCCTGCTGTCCCCATGGGTCCCCGGTGTCCCTGCTGTCCCTGTGGGTCCCTGCTGTCCCCATGGGTGTCCCTGCTGTCCCCGGTGTCCCCATGGGTCCCTGCTGTCCCTGGGGTCCCTGCTGTCCCCGGTGTCCCCGTGGGGGTCCCTGCTGTCCCCGTGTCCCCGTGGGTGTCCCTGCTGTCCCTGGGGTCCCTGCTGTCCCTGGTGTCCCTGTGGGGGTCCCTGCTGTCCCTGGTGTCCCTGTGGGGGTCCCTGCTGTCCTTGGTGTCCCTGCTGTCCCTGGGGTCCCCGGTGTCCCTGCTGTCCCCGGTGTCCCTGCTGTCCCTGGGGTCCCTGCTGTCCCCGTGGGGGTCCCTGCTGTCCTCGGTGTCCCCGGTGTCCCCGTGGGTGTCCCTGCTGTCCCCTGTCCCCGTGGGGGTCCCTGCTGTCCCCGTGTCCCCGTGGGGGTCCCTGCTGTCCCCGGTGTCCCTGCTGTCCCTGGGGTCCCTGCTGTCCCCGTGGGGGTCCCTGCTGTCCCCGTGGGTGTCCCCGTGGGTGTCCCTGCTGTCCCCTGTCCCCGTGGGGGTCCCTGCTGTCCCCGTGTCCCCGTGGGGGTCCCTGCTGTCCCCGGTGTCCCTGCTGTCCCTGGGGTCCCTGCTGTCCCCGTGGGGGTCCCTGCTGTCCCCGTGGGTGTCCCCGTGGGTGTCCCTGCTGTCCC